CACTTAAATGTTGAGTATTGCATTAGAAATCGACATCACGGCACTCAGGACACTCTCCTAAGCGCTCCGTCCTCATCTTCAGAAGCAAGCACAGAGTTCTAATTTCGATGGCACCAGTAACTGTCTAATTGCATATCCTTCTCGCTTTTCCTTTGAGTGTTGAGCGTTGCCCAGATCCCCTGGTGCCATTCTCCTCAGACCGTAATGATCTATTTGCGCCTCCGCACTATTCACCCCCTCCCAAGAAGTCCTCAAAAATATCTAGCTTGTCATACATCAGTAGACCACCAAGTAGTGCAGAACTGGCCAGTCTATCTGACTTTTCGTTTCCCAGCACGGCAGTATAACCTAGAGAAAATATCCAAAGGATGCTAACTATCCGGGACCTCTGAAGCAATGCTTGCCACTCTGCATGGATTATACTTGTCTCCACATTTCTCGACATGCTCTGTGACTCAGTTACAATTACTACACGTGTGTACAGCTGATTCTCAAGCCAGTGAAAGGCAGCAGTGGCTGCATCTAACTCCATTCTCAAACTAGACGTTGTGATATCATCTGCCAGGCTTTGCTGCACTAAGCGACCTCTATTCGCTTTTGCTACAAACTCCCACGTACTACATCTGCCTTCAACTCAGAACCATCTGTAGGATTATCACATCGACACGGCGGGAATGGTCATTGCTATATGTATTCTTCTTCTTTCGTTCGCTTGAAATATATTATCTATAACTGCAATGTTGTCTCTAGTATGAACTTCACTACATGTATTATTCCTTTAACATCTCATTTACGCGTTTTTTTCAAATTCTTCTAACAGTTTCCGTTTCCGGGTTTCGATATCGCTGTTGAACTAAACGCAAGCATAACAGAATGAAACGTTTACTGGCTCTTTGCATTTGTATATACCACACAAGTACTTCCCTATAATGTTTTTTTTTATTTTTTTATTAATTCGTGCACTATTTTATTTCAATTCCTTACTACTGTATGCGATACTGTTATTTCATAGACAATGCTTTCGTGTGCTTCCTCTTATTCTTTACGTCCTCTTTTACCGCTTTTGGTGTCGAGGTAGAGATAAGGTCCTGCTTCGTGCTCTTCTGGCTGCTTCGACCATAGACACATCGTGGTGCTGTAGAGTTTCTCTTATGTTATCTTCCCATCTTGTTATTGAACGACCTTTTGCTCTACGTCCTTCTCTTCTTTTCGTATATGCTTTGTATGGTAGAGCATCAGGAGGCATTCTTTCCTAGTGGGCAAACATTTTTATTGTAATTTCTTTGTATGTGATTTAGAACTCGTTCTGTGCCGACTTGATCTCATAGGACCTCATTCCTGATTTGTTCTCTTCTGGTCACTAATACAGTCTTTCTCAGACACCTTATTTCTATGGTTACTAATTTTCTTTTCATATTTTGTTGTTAGTGACTACGTCCGGCACTGATAGCATAGGCTGGGAATGAATATGCTTTATATGAGATGTTTCTCAGGGCTGACAGGCCTATGCTGTAATAGGCGCTAGCTGTGCCAATACTTGGCCTGCTTTGCTGCATCGGATGTCAATTTCTTCGTCCAGTTTACCATCTTCAGTGAATGTTGTTGTATGCTATTTAAACTCAGATGCCTGTTTAATATTGAGTGCTCTATTGCTAATTGTCGTGTCCTGTTGTCGAAAAGTTGCGTCGTTACTGTTAGAAACGTATACATAAATAAATAGAGGGGGAACCCTTGAGGCCGAGGAAACATTAAATATATATATATATATATATATATATATATATATATATATATATATATATATATATATATATATATATATATATATATATATATAAAAATATATATATATATATATATATATATGTGTGTGTGTGTGTGTGTGTAAAAGTAAACACACATTATATTGATCGGTTCTCATAGAAAGAAGTAGAAAGATAGAAGGACCCACTAGACACCATAAAATTCACAAGCTATAGTTACGGTGCCGAAAATCAAACATGTCACCTCAAAATGGCTTCATGAGGCGGAAGGGCTGGCGATCGGGTGTGGGGTGTGAATAGAAGCGACGTTCTATGAAGAGTCTGCTACCTGATGATGGTATCATTAGGTTTAGTTTGGATACATGCAAAGCAAATGAATGTGGAATAAAGTACTTTTCAAAACCACATGTGTAATACCATTTTCTTAGACAGGGCACGCAATGGTCTATTTGGAAGCATCGATTAGTCGTAATGTGTGTGTGTGTAAATATATATATATATATAAAGAGAGAGGGAAAGAGAGAGCGGGAGAGGGATACATCGACCTGTGAACAGCTCTAGGTATATTTTTAGATACGAACATTTTTCATATACATATGAACCTAGATTCCAGATACGAACCTTGATGCACTGCACATGCGCGTTGTCTGTGACCACATCGCATTTGTCTGCAATACAACAACACAACTAGAAATGGATGCGACACATACTCGGTGTATTAATTAGACATCCCATATCATTTTTACATTTTGTAATTTAAAAAAAAAAAAAAACGTGCAGCACTGGGCGAATTAGTTGCATCCAAATCTAGCTGTAGTTTCCAAAGTTACTGATGTCTTCAATGACAATGTCATTGATCAGTTTAGAAGAATCTCGAGTTACGGACTTGTCGAAATGCGAACCTTAGTCGGAATACAAATGTGAGTCGCCCTGGCGTAGCGGCTAGATGCTCGCTTGCGGATTGAAAGGTCGTGCGTTCGCTCCCTGGCTGAGCCGGGCTTTTTTTTCAGAAAATAACCTTGACTCCCAGGTCGACCCAGCCTTGAGTAGGTACCATGTGCAGTCCCGGGAAGTAAAGACGGCCGGCGTGTTGCTGACCACATCACCCATCTTGCGCTAATTGGTCTAAAAAAATAAAGATCTAGCCCTATATGCCCTATACGCCTAAAGGCGTGGAAAACGGACCTTTACTTACTATATATATATGGACATAAGAGGAAACTCTCCAGTATGTAAACCTAACCTTGATTTAGCAATATGTAATGGATACTGGGAAGACAGAAGTAATGTTGGTATCAAAGAAACGAATTATTCCTAAGTGTGTAATAAAAGTTGATGGTGTTATTTTATGACAAGTACAGAAATTTAAGTATCTGGGCACATCGATAACATCAGATGGAAGATGCATAACTGAAATAAGAAACAGAATATGACAGGCAAAAACTGCATTTTATTAAATAAAAAACATCTTGTGCAATATATCCTTGTCATTGAGAGTTAGAAAAAGAATTCTTGCTTGCTACATACATCCAGTTTTAACATATGGCTGTGAATCCTGGACAATCGGTAGGCAGGCCAAACAATTTCTGGAGGCTTCGGAGATGTGGTTTTACAGAAGAATGCTTAGAATACCTTGGACAGCCAGAAAGAGCAACCAAGAGGTTTTGAAAGAGGTGGGAGCCCGAAGACAACTTATCACAGACATCAGAAGGAGATAGTCATCATTTTTTGGCCATGTTATGATAAAAGGGAAAATAGAACATGTTGTTACCACTGGAAAGATATGTGGAAGGAGAGATACAGGAAGACAACGAAAGAAGATGCTTGACAGTCTTGTTGCATGACATGGAAGTGTGTCGGCACACAAAATGATACATGGTGCAGGAGATCGCAGATTATGGAGAGGCATGATCGCCCACGCCAGTCGGCAAGGTACCTGATGATGATGATAAATGGATACTATTATGAGATACTGATCTAGTATTTTGGCACAGCTAAGACTAATTCATAGAGGTCAGTAACATGTTGCGAAAGCGAACTTGTGTTTTATTTGTTAACTATGTACCCAGTTTGACTTCACAACATATCAAACTGCATGCTTGTTTGTTTTACATGCCTTTGGTTTGACAGGTGAGTACTACCGTCTCATGTTTGCACATTCTTAGAAACGATTTGTTTCAGTTGACAGTTTTTTAATGTCGGCTCTGTCTTAGTAATAACAGCGCATGTGTATTTACTTTTCAAACTGGAAAAGTAGGCGCCCTTTGTTAGGTTGAACTGGCTGCATTTTTCACGTCTGATACCATAGACCGGAAGCCGCTATTGTGTAGCAGCTAGATTTTGCTTGCGGATCAGACGGTCGCGGGTTCAAATCCGTGTGGAGCCGGATTTTTTTTTTTTCAGACATAGCTTTGGCTCTCATGTTGACTTAACCTTAAATGGGTACCAAGGTCATGGGAAGGTAAGGCGGCCGGCGGTGTGACGCTCATCACATCACCCGTCGAGGGTGATTGGTCTACAAATGTGCGAGTCCAGCCTGATATGCCTGATGCGCCACTGCTGTGTAAAGCCACATGATGCCAAAGCTAAAAAAAAAAAATGTTTAATTTGAAGTAAAGGACCCCTTTCCGCGCCTTGAGGCCTACTGGGCATGTAGGCATTTCCTGTGGATGTGTCTTTAGCATAAAATATACAAGCATTTTCTTCTTCTTCTTCTTCTTCTTCTTCTTCTTCTTCTTCTTCTTCTTCACCAGCTCTTCTTCTCTTCTTCTGGCTTCTTCTCTTCTTTTTTCTTCTTTTTTCTTCTTCTTCTTCGCGTTCACCAGCTGTAAACTGGCGAAAATTTCTGGTTATTCGTCCACTTCTGGACTGCAGTCCTGTTTCAGAACCTGAGTGTTGTGTGTGCATCCGTTGGACGGACCTGACTATGTTTGCAGACTGTTGGTTCCTTGCCTCTCTAGCAGATGCACCCCGACTTCGAAGTGAAGCTTCCAGTTACTCGACTCTTACGACATGCTATGGGTAGGCACTGGATCTGTTCTTGTTTTCCCTATAATAGGGCCCCGGAACCCACACAGGGAAAGCATGTTTCAAGAACGCACCGATTCTTGGTAACTTTGTGCCACTTTTTATTCCTTTATAAATAGCTTTTGCTCGCGTCCAGCTTGTGACATTGTAAGTGACTGTCGTCACTAGATTCAGCTACAGGGATAAGGTTTGCCGACAAGCATTACAAGTATGGACAGTCAGTCGTCTTCCAAAGTCTTCAGACACGCTGCGGTCGTCACAGATTCCAAAATCGCCTCTGATATTGGAAAGTAAGTTACCGGAAAAGTCACTTTTTTTTTTTTTTTTTAAATACTAAAATTCATATTCAGTATCACTGTCATCATCATCATCATCATCATGTGCACTGTTATAAAATGGCCATGTTTCTCACACACATAATCACACACATACTCACACACAAGCACACATAGACACTTCTTATCCGGCATACATTCCCGTTACACTCGTACACATTCTCACTCACACACACACACACACACACACACACACACACACAAACCGTCACCTTACACACATCATCGCTTTATAGTATTGGAAGCTCTTTGAGGAAGGAAACTAGTAAAAGTCCTTTAAAACATTTACTTACAAAATTAGGTTCATGAGCATTTCCCATAGCTAAATTGATGCATGTGATGACAATAGTGAATCACGGAGTACCACATTATAGTATATTTTAATTTATGTTAATTTATGCTATATCATCACAGTCAACGTCACAGCACTTTGGGCATCCCCATGGGTGCTCTGTCTACTGATTCAGCAGCTGTCCTAGACTAACTGTGGGACACCTGAGGTAATTTGGCCTTGGTAAACATGATGGTGACCTGGAGAGAACGGCGATGAAAGATACAGTTTTGGGGAAATGAGGCAAAGGGAGACTCCGGCAAATGTGGATATAAAACACTGAAGATGCATTAACTTTAAAAACACAGAGAGCTGGAAAATTGGCCAAAGAAAGAGATATTTGCATATGTGCCGTGACGAGAGCGACGTTATGTAAAGCACTTGGTAATTAATGATGGTGAGGAGGAGGGTCTTTCACTACCGCACATCCATTATATTGAGGGTTTTTTTTTCCTTAGATATTTTCCGTGTTTTAATCACTTTTCACATTCGATGCTCTCTTCTGCATTAGTGAGCTTCTAATGTCCAGAGGCGGAAACGCTGTGGATGCTGCAGTGGCGGCGTCGCTTGCAACTGGGGTCATTAGTATGCACAGCTGCGGGATCGGTGGCGGCTCTCTGTTTGTCATATACACCAAGTAAGAAGGGCCTGAGTTTTCTCTTAGGGGTTTTATATCTTTTTCTTCATGCATTTTCTCCTAGACTTTCTGTGTGTTATTTGAGTAAGTAAAGAAACAGTTAACGATTTTGTCCATGCCGGGAGACGTACTGTGTACATGGTACTGGCGTAAGATGTGTCTGAAAAGTTTTTGGGAAGTAAATGCAGCTAAAATTATACTTACCACATCATATAAATAATGTAGACTGGTCTAGGAAATCACTAAGCGCCCAGTATTCAGGACCGGATTTAGACTTGATGAAGCCCTAAGATATATATGAAGTCATGAAGCCCCCTGTCATATTAAATTTCACCAGCTGATCTCAGAAAACGGTAAAATATATGCGTATGTTATATACACAGATAATAGAAATTTAATGTGGTTTAATTTCTAGTAACAGAAATAATAAAGAATGAGATTGCCAAATCACATAATTATATAATCCGTTAAAATGCTCTATTAAAGAACAATTGCATTGTGGTCCTAAACTGTAGCTTACTTAGCTTATGTTTAAATTTAACATTGCCAATGTATCTTATTTTTCGTCACCTTTCCATATGAAATCAAACGAATCACAAGTCAGTTCTACAGACAAATTGTTCACCCAAAAGACATGAACTGTGTGGACTTTATGGCACATCTGATTTCCTTAGGCTCTTCAGTCGAACAATATGTCCTGCAGTGGATTTCAGGTCACTTTGGCTTTGAAGCAATGAAAGGGCAGATTGGCCAGAAGCGGCAGAGACACTATTTCAGATTGTGAAATACCCACGAACAGAATAAAACATTAATAAAACTGACTCCGAGAAAGGTGGCTAGACACCCACACCAATTTCTCCCCAAGACTTGCTTCATCGCCCCTTTAGAAAGGTAGCTAGACACCCACACCAATTTCTCCCCAAAACTCTCCTCATCGCCCCTTTAGAAAGGTAGCTAGACACCCACACCAATTTCTCCCCGAAACTCTCCTCATCGCCTCTTTAGAAAGGTAGCTAGACACCCACACCAATTTCTCCCCGAAACTCTCCTCATCGCTCCTTTAGAAAGGTAGCTAGACACCCACATCAATTTCTCTCTAAAACTCTCCTCATCGCCTCTTTAGAAAGGTAGCTAGACACCCACACCAATTTCTCTCTAAAACTCTCCTCATCGCCTCTTTAGAAAGGTAGCTAGATAACCACACCAATTTCTCCCCAAAACTCGCTTCATCGCCCCTTTAGAAAGGTGGCTAGACACCCACACCAATTTCTCCCCGAAACTCTCCTCATCGCCCCTTTAGAAAGTTAGCTAGACACCCACACCAATTTCTCCCCGAAACTCTCCTCATCGCCTCTTTAGAAAGGTAGCTAGACACCCACACCAATTTCTCCCCGAAACTCTCCTCATCGCCCCTTTAGAAAGGTAGCTAGACACCCACATCAATTTCTCTCTAAAACTCTCCTCATCGCCTCTTTAGAAAGGTAGCTAGACACCCACACCAATTTCTCTCTAAAACTCTCCTCATCGCCTCTTTAGAAAGGTAGCTAGATACCCACACCAATTTCTCCCCAAAACTCGCTTCATCGCCCCTTTAGAAAGGTGGCTAGACACCCACACCAGTTTTTCCCCAAGAGTCGCTTCATCGCCTCTTTAGAAAGGAACATCGCGTCATATTCAGACAAATAACAGGGCACAGCTGACTTCACCAACATACGATCACGTTTTTGATTGCAGGAAACACAAAGATGTGTCCCTGCAACTTGGCACCATAAACATAAGCTTTAACACTGTCAACTGTATGCCGCTACCAGAGAAGCAATCTGGCCTCTCCCGACCGCAGTGAAGACAAAACTAGTTTGGTCCACGAGGAAACATAGACTGAAAGATAGCTTTCATCAAGGCTACTAGCCTCCTGGTATACATTTTCTGAAGAGGAATCAAAGAAGACACAAGTATAACAGGCAGTCACTGACTGAGGGACTTCATAATCTTTTAGATGCAAAAAATGTTACAGATACTTTTTTTCTCACCTTAGGTGAAATAAATATATGGGATGTAATGTTCTTCATTCTACACAAGTATTGTGCGTGTGTGCGTGCGCGCGCGCGCGTGTGTGTGTGTGTGTGTGTGTTAAAATGTTTACGCAATGCTACAGAAGACAATCATTGTGTATGTTGTACAGATATGCAAGGCCAGAATCACGCAGAGGGCCTGGCTGGCACGCCGTAGACAGCAGGGAGACGGCTCCATTGGCGTCCAGTGAGAATATGTTTAATCAGTTGGACAGCTCCAGAAGGCACAGTTCCCGTCTAGGTATTCTGCGTTGTCTAAGCCAGTGGTGCCTTTTTAGCAAAGGTATTCTGTGTTGTCTAAGCCAGTGGTGCCTTTTTAGAAAAGGTATTCTGTGTTGTCTGAGCCAGTGGTGCCTTTTTAGCAAAGGTATTCTGTGTTGTCTAAGCCAGTGGTGCCTTTTTAGCAAAGGTATTCTGTGTTGTCTGAGCCAGTGGTGCCTTTTTAGCAAAGGTATTCTGTGTTGTCTGAGCCAGTGGTGCCTTTTTAGCAAAGGTATTCTGTGTTGTCTGAGCCAGTGGTGCCTTTTTAGCAAAGGTATTCTGTGTTGTCTGAGCCAGTGGTGCCTTTTTAGCAAAGGTATTCTGTGTTGTCTGAGCCAATGGTGCCTTTTTAGCAAAGGTATTCTGTGTTGTCTGAGCCAGTGGTGCCTTTTTAGCAAAGGTATTCTGTGTTGTCTGAGCCAGTGGTGCCTTTTCATCAAAGGTATTCTGTGTTGTCTGAGCCAGTGGTGCCTTTTCAGCAAAGGTATTCTGTGTTGTCTGAGCCAGTGGTGCCTTTTTAGCAAAGGTATTATGTGTTGTCTAAGCCAATGGTGCCTTTTTAGCAAAGGTATTCTGTGTTGTCTAAGCCAATTGTGCCTTTTTAGCAAAGGTATTCTGTGTTGTCTAAGCCAATTGTGCCTTTTTAGCAAAAGTATTCTGTGTTGTCTAAGCCAATTGTGCCTTTTTAGCAAAGGTATTCTGTGTCGTCTAAGCCAATTGTGCCTTTTTAGCAAAGGTATTCTGTGTTGTCTAAGCCAATTGTGCCTTTTTAGCAAAGGTATTCTGTGTTGTCTAAGCCAATGGTGCCTTTTTAGCAAAGGTATTCTGTGTTGTCTAAGCCAATGGTGCCTTTTTAGCAAAGGTATTATGTGTTGTTTAAGCCAATTGTGCCTTTTTAGCAAAGGTATTCTGTGTTGTCTAAGCCAATGGTGCCTTTTTAGCAAAGGTATTCTGTGTTGTCTAAGCCAATGGTGCCTTTTTAGCAAAGGTATTACGTTTTGTGTAAGCCAATGGTGCCTTTTTAGCAAAGGAATTATGTGTTGTGTAAGCCAATGGTGCCTTTTTAGCAAAGGTATTATGTGTTGTGTAAGCCAAGGGTGCCTTTTTAGCAAAGGTATTATGTGTTGTGTAAGCAAGTGGTGCCCTTTTAGCAAAGGTATTCTGTTTTGTCCAAGCCAATGGTTCCCTATTAGCGAAGGTATTCTGTGCTGTCTACGCCAGTGGTTTTCTCTTAGCAGAAGTATTCTATGTTGTCTAAGCCAGTAGTTTTCTCTTAGCAGAAGTATTCTATGTTGTCTAAGCCAGTGGTTTTCTCTTAGCAGAAGTATTCTTTGTTGTCTATCGCCCCCCCCCCCTCCATTTTTCGACCTTCTGCACTCTATCAGAAACTTTTTGATAGTCTTGAAAAACACAAAAAGAATGAAATTTTACATCAGAATCGTTCCTTTACGGATTCCGGGGCCCTATTTGTTGGGGGAGGAGGGGGCAGAGGGGGGGAGTGGTGTGAATAGACCCATTGCCTCCCTAACAAGCATGGGGTAAGAGACGACTAATTGGGGATGTTTCCTATGAAGTCTGAGTACATCTGCCAGAGAGACCAAGAACGAACAGTATGTGAGAAACGCACGTACGATTGAGCTAGATCTGTCAAGCGAATTCAAGTTCTGGAGCAAGACTAACATTCAGAAGATTACGAACAACTAAAACTTTGCGCCGGAATTTACAGCTGATGATAACATATTCATCATCATGTAGCACGTTCTTTGCAGAACATCGCTCTCATCACGGCCTGCCTTTTAAAAAAAGTCAGTCTGTCTCTCGGCAGCTCTCCCGCCTCTTGCACTTTCAGGAAGATCTTAATTCTGTGCGATGAACTTCCTGGAGGATGTGGGACCATCAGTTCGGAAACACTGGCCAAAGTACAGGCCATGAGCATGAGGCTCAACCTGCTAGGTAGGAGAAAAAATATAAGTACAATTACATCCTCGAGCTTTTTCCAGGTGACTGCTATTTTTGGTGGATGGCGCTTACAATTCTAATTTTTCTTGTTTGATTTGTTGATAAAGACTGGTCGAAAGGGTCGGTCGTATTTATGTGCCCTGCCCCATTCTCCAAACCCACAATCTCACAGTGTTGAGCTTTCCAGTCACAGCTTGTGCCGCTCAGTCTATAAAATATAGGTCTAGCCCTGTGTGCCCATTACGTCTAAAGGCGTGGAAAAGGAGTGCTTCACTTTATAGCAAGTGAGACTTGGCCGACCTAGATCTAGTCAGACATGGATGGCAGTAAACCAACAGGCAACATCATTTGTACATTTTTCTGGAGTTCAAAATCGGAGCAATAAGACCACAGTTATAACCAAAAGCTCTAAGCAGCTAGGTTTTTTCCTTTAATCTGAGACAGACAGACAGACAGACAGACAGACAGACAGACAGACAGACAGACAGACAGACAGACAGACAGACAGACAGACAGACAGACAGACAGACAGAGAAAGGAACAGCGAGAGACAGAGAGATAGAAAAAATAGAGACAGAGAGATAGAAAGAGAGAGAGAGAGAGAGAGAGAGAGAGAGAGAGAGAGAGAGAATCAAATAACATAGCATATGCTAGATTATACTGTAGTTTACTTGTGGACTGTCCAGGTGGTATGGCGATTGGCGTGCCCGGTGAGATCAGAGGTCTCTTTGAGGTCCATAAAGAGTTTGGGAAACTTTCCTGGGAGGAGGTTGTCATGCCAACGGTCAAACTGTGTGAGAAGGGTGTGCCCCTGACAAACCCAGTCCGAAACGTTCTAAAACATCTTTCAGACAACATGAGAGACAAATTTCCGTAAGTGAATTATTTATTGACCGTTTAATCTAAAAAAAAATATGAATTTGTGAATGAAATGTTTATCTGTTTTCGAAATGTTGAATGTTAAATTAACAATCGACATCCCAGCGCTCGGGATATTCCTATAAGCGCTGCTTTTCCATGTTCATCAGGAAGCGAAGAGTTCCAATTCCGACGGCGCCAGGAACGGTTTGACTGTTGTTGAGTGTTAAAAGTCGGCCAGATCCCCAGGTCACTCCTTGCTGCGCCATTTTTCTCAGACCGTAATGATCTGTTTGTGCGTCTACATTTTCACTCGCTGCCAACATCTGGCGTGTCGTGCCTCAAATTACCATTAAATTAAAGTTTATCTGCCTGTTTGTTTTCAAAAAAAACATCGGCATGCCCTGGAGAAAATTTCCCAAATACGCCAGCTACCCACCAGGGACCTCTAAAGCTACGCTTGCCACTGCGCTGAGCATACCCGTCTCCACTCTCCCCAAGAGACTTCTGGTCAAAATGGACGTTAGGCACTGCCACTTTTTGAGCCGTTTCAGATTTGCGGTTGCGGTGCATTTTTGCTCTATTTGTAGACTGAAAGGATATAGTTTCGTAGCCCAGCTTCTGGGTTGAGTGCGTGACGTGACACTGTGAGCTGCGGATTTCATTTAGAATGTTTTTCGACTGTGACCAGCGTTGTGGTGTGAATTGTAGATTCAGAAAATGGCGCGATACCTGTTGTCGCAATATTGGTGGTGCCAGTTATTAAAATTGATCGCGTGTGCAACTGCTGATCTGATAGTAACTTTTCCTACCACCTATGGTGAACTGCATTTCTAATGTCGGACTGTTTGTGTTAGCACTTCGGATGGCTACCGTATGCTTTTAATTCGTTTGTATGCTAGTGCATATGCCGAGACAGCAGTCTGTCAATCTGTCCACAAGGGACTGTGATAAAATTATTCTGTGAGTTTTTCGTTGGCACAGGAGCGGAGCAACTATGGGGTGACCCGTTGGCTATGAAGCTGAAACTAAGATTACCAAAATATTCTCCCAAAATGCTCTGTGAGTCACTTGCAACTACGACATACGTGTGTGGTTGGTTCTAAGAGGCTGCTGCAGTGGTTGCCTAAACCTCCATTCTCAAACTAAATATTTGGTATATGTTCAGAATACACATTAGCAGGATCTTTGTTTTTTTTCTAAAACATTAGTTGGTATACCTTGTTTTTTTAATAACACCATTTTAAAGTGGTTTTCAAAGTGTTGTTTTGTTGTTTTAGTATCCAGAAGCCACGAGTTGTTAGCCCTTAGGCTCGGTATTATGGATATAGCAACCTTTCGGCCTTGATTCTATTGTTAATATCGTAAATCCGGAAGAAATGTGGCTTTTCTGCCTACCCCCGGGAGTGAACCCAGACCACAAGGAGTTCGTCACCCGGTCACCGCGCAATCCGGTTTAGCCAACTACGCTAGAGAGCCGACTTTTTAAAGTGTTAACATCACTTAATGCTTGAAAAAGATCAAACCCAGCCTTTTAAATTTTCTTATAATCGGGGTCATAAGGCGTACACTGCGTGTATCCCTCTTCCCCCTTCACACACCACACACCCCCCCCCCACACACACACGCACACACACACACACACGCAGGCACACACACGCACGCACACACACACACAAAGCGCTTCATAGAAATAGGAAAACCATAGTCTAATCTTATTCTGACATTTCTCTTAAAAATTTCGAAACATCTAATCAACGCTGAAGGCCGAAATGGCGCTACTAAAACATGCGCTGCTAGAACAGTCAACGGCAATGAATGTGAGAGAGAAAAAAAAAGAAGAGAGGGATGGTTATTAAAAGTTCAGACCAGAGCATAACAGCTTGCATACACTTAGCAGAAGCAAGTAGGCAATAAATTAAACTCAAAACTGGACAATATAAACTTATAACACAGCTTTGAATTACGGATTTTACTGTCACCTGGAAATGTGCAACAACAGCAGAGCGAACTCAAAGGCATGTTTTACAAAACTATAGATTTTTCTCAGTTATTGACACACAAATCTGGCGCTCAACCAGCTCTCCTAGGAGGCAAAATTCTGGGGGTCGGCGAAGATCTAATAAATACCAAGACTTGTCACTAGACTAAATCTCCACTATTTCTGCTACATAATTTGCGTCAATTCTCAGAATACAATGTTTATATAGAATAAGTTTTTTTTTTTAAATACTGGCATCATAAAGATCTGATTATCAAGGAAGATTGGCTGGTACCCAGCATCTGGTCTCGAAAACTGAAATATTCTGAACGTTTCAATCGCCACGGCGGACTGGTAGGGGGATGAGGGGGCGGGGGTGTGATAGCACAAGGCGCCGTAAGAAAGGCAGGGGACGATTAGCATGAAGGTAGATACAGGATAAAAATGACAACTTTGGTAGGAAAGTGCACGCGGCAGGATAGCTGGCGAGAGACTGAGTTTCTTTCATGAAGGCTGTGGTGAGAGTGACGTTCTGCAAAGAACTTGCTGCGTGGTGATGCAATCACCTCAACCTTTCCATTGTTTTCTTTCAGAGAATACTTTGACAGCAACGGAGCCCCAAAGACAGCAGGCAGCCCAATCCAGCTACCATCTCTCGCAAAGACGTTTCTGACCATCGCCAAACATCCAGATGCCTTCTACAGTGGGAGTCTTGCAGAGATTATCGTTGCTGATATCAGAGACGCTGGTCAGTAGTTTCCGAGGAGGCATACTCAAGATTAGATAACCTGTGTTGTGTACCGTTTTTCTCCAAGTGGAAGGCGATCCCATGTATAAGACGCGCCTTGATAATATGATTAAATAAAGTTATTGAATCCACGATTTATTCATCATACAATACAGACAACTTCCCATCATTGTCGTCCGTCATCCATTGTGATAGGTGTTAGCTTGTCCTTGTCTGCGTCTGATGACGAATGACTGTCTTTATATAGTGTCCCTTCCTCAGTTCCTTCTGTGGATTTTGAAATTCCTCACTTCCTGACGCAAATTCTATTACAGCTGAAAAGACTTTTTAATATAATAATACAAACCCCCCCCCCCCCCTCCCCCACCAATTTATTAATACTCCAGCCCCCTCCCCCCACCCCCTATTTCCCTATTTTGTTTCGCTATGAACCGTCATTCCCAAATGAGACCATTTATTTTTGGAAACTTGGGGAAATACGGTGTTTTGTTGAACCTCACGTCCATGTAAACTTGCAGCAATGGACTTTTCCACACCCCTAGGCGTATTGAGCATATAGGGAAGGCTAAATCTATATTACATAGACTAATGGTCACTCGGTTGGTGATGTAACAAACTTAACTCCTGCCGCCTTTACTTTCCAGGACTTTACCTGTTACCCATTAAAGGCTAAGTCGACTAGGAGGCTAAGTCCTTTTTGAAGTCCAGCTCTGTCAGGACTTGAACCTACAACCTTCGGATCCGGAGGTGAGAGTCTAGCCTATACACAGTGGCGGCTTTCATGTAATGTGGAAAGTCAAACTATAATCACAAAATTCTTAACAGTGCCTAGTAAACAATGTGATACCAGACCCTTTTTTACAACAGTGGCGCAGCGGGAAATGATGTTGAGACTTATATTTGTATAAAGCAATCGGCATTCTTTTCTGGCGGGGAGGGGGGTGGATATGGTCAGTTGGGTTCCAATTCACATCGAAACTGTTCTTTTTTTTCCCCTTCTTTCAGAAATAACTTTGGCTGCCAAAGCAACTCAGTCAACAATGTAGGTAAAGTCCTCAGGGGTAAGGCCGACCTACCCTTGGGAGCTCATGCGCCTTGAGAAGAGACTGAGGATTAATGTTCCCTGCAGCTAAGCCTCACCTCCTTCTAGGAAGTTTTGCAGAGGGGATTTGTGCATCCACACCCCCACCCCCACACCTCTCTTCCCTCCAACCTTGGCAGGTGCTGGCCCATGGATCACGCAGACATTGTAAAATTCCCTTAGAGAGAGAGGATGTTCCGAGGATTTTGAAAGCAACGTGTCCACATCACTGCTAAGAATACAAGAATAGTGAGTAAAGATTGGCACAGCCAAGCATGAGAAGTACACCAGACGCACACGAAGTCTTATCAACCAGCACAGGACTGGCAGTGTTAAGCGCGCGACGCTTTTGAATATTTTGAAGAGAGAATCTGAACACCAATGGATGTGTCCGGAGTGCTGTGAGGATAATCCAACTAATAACTCCTAACCCTCAACCTTCTATAGACGTTCTCATTTAAGTATTGTGGTTGGCCTCTTCTTCTCTTTTCTATTCCCCCCACCCACCCACCCAACTCCCTCCAGTAGAGCGTGGGCGCTCAACCAACGCACGCCAAGTCGTTCTGTCCTTCGCTATTGTATACAGCTCACCCCATGTCCTCCTCGTCTTTCTAACTTCAATCTCCAGCTCCTCTCGCCATGCGCGTGTGTGTTTGTGTGTTTTCCTGCTCTGATTACTGTACCCCTGTGGGCTCCAGCACAGAGATATTAGTTATATTGTTCTCATGCCCTCTCAACGTGTGTCCCATCCAACCCCGGCGTCTTTTCCTCACCTCTTGGTCTACTGTAACTAGTGTAGTTCTCTCACAAGTCTCAACATTAGTGATTATATCATTCTACTCACTCTGTTCCATTCCACACAGACACCAGTCAGAGAATGCCCATAGTTTGTTAGAACTAGCCTTAGCTGTTCTCTCCATGTTTCCGCTCCATACAGAAGTATTCATTTGACATTAGAATTTAAAAAATTCAAGTATAGAATAAGTTTTAATTTTTCTTGACCACCATAGATTTCCTAGTGCTATGAAACCTGTTCTTGATGAAGGAACTGATAGAGATACTCAAATACGAAAGACAATGTGGTTGGTGGTCATAGCATAATCAGCCTTAGTTATGCTGATGGCGTCATCTTGGTAGCGACAAGTCAGAAACTACTACAGATACTGATATTGTGGTGGATAAAGGGATAAAATGGGCTTCATTTTAAATAATGGGAAGATAAAGACAAGAAGAGTACCTATTTTTTAAAATTAAAATCAAAGGCTTTTTTTATGACGAATACAGAAACCTAAGATAAAGAACAGAATAGCACAGGCTAAAAATGCATTTTATAACAAAAGGAATATTTAATGCACGAAATCCATGTTACTGTAGATTACAAAAAAGATTCTTGCGTGCTATATAGCAAGTTATTGTCCCCTTCGCGTCATTAGTCTCTCGGGCATATGGGTGCTAGACTCGTATTTGTATAGACCCACTCGATGGTCAACTCTACTTCCCTTACCTTCACTTGATACACATTTAAGGCCTGGTCGACCAGTAGCGAAGGATTCTTTGTTAAATGCGGCACCGTGCATATTTGAACCCAGGACCATATAATTAATTTAAGGGTCTAGCCGCTACATCACGGTGGCTCTTATGGTAAGTAGTGCTAGTTTTAACACATGGTTAGGAATCACCAAACAATGTCTTGATGCCTCGGAGAGGTGCTTTTAGAGAAGAATCCTTAGAATTCTTTTGACAGCCAGCAAAAGCAACCCTGATGTTTTGAAAGAGGTGAAGGCTCAAAGACGACGTATAACAAACATCAGAAAGAGAGTCTTTTTTTTTTTTAAAGTTATGATTAAGGGGAATAGGAACATGGTAAAAGAAATTTGAAAGATCTTTGGGAAAGAGACAGATGTAGACAACGTGAGAAGATTCTTGACAGCCTTTCATCTTGGCATTGATGGTTTTTCAGCCCACGAACGGATACAGCTTTTGAAGACTGCGAATTATAGAGAGTGAGAGTATGTGCGTGTGTGTATGTGTGTGTGTGTAGTGGTGACCGGAAATGTTCCCTATCGGGTACCACCTGGCCTTGCATTTCCACCGGATACTGCACGATTTGTTCCGTACCGGGTAGCATTTGACATTGCATTTCCACCGGAGATTACAAGAAATTGTCCGTACCGGGAGCATTTGACCTCGCATTGCCAATGGAGATTACAAGAAATGTTCCGTACCGGGTACCACCTGATCTTGCTACGCCACTAATACTCGATAAGTCGCTGGCATGAACAGGCTACATTACCTTCCAAACTTCTGTGGTAATTTATTGTACCGAAATGTTTGTGTCACCAGGGGGGATAATCACCTTGGACGACATGAAGAACTATCAGGTGAAGTGGCGTCCCCTGTCGGTGATGAATCTACCCGGAGGATTCAGTGTACACTCTATCCCTCCACCAGGAAGTGGACCAGTCCTTGGCTATATTCTGAATATTTTGAGCGGTAAGCAGTCCTGGAATTAGCATAAGCTAACTAAGCTACAGCTTAGGGCCTCGCTATCTAAACGGATCTCAGAAAATAGCTTGTTTATTCACAAATGCAGTTATCTTTATTTAATGTGTTTTGTTACTTAGTCTTGTGGGTATATTAAGTCGGGGCACTCTTTGAACCGGCGACATCTGATTTTGTCCTTTTTAGGACGAAATTTTTAATTGTTTGAAGCCCCACCCTGGCTTTTGCCAGGGGCCGCAATATAGGCAGGCCAAAAATATGGCCAATTGTCTGATCGCGGTTTCTGGGACCTCTCCATGGTGATCCTCGTCCACATGGTGGCACTTTGTGTCATCGGGTGTTTATCGCTTGTGTGATGTCCTGGTGGGGTAGAAAGTCAGTCAGTCAGACCCTACGGAATGTAATCTACTGTAAGTCAACATTACTGTAGAATCTTACTCAAGGAACGTAATCTATTGTTTGTATAAGTTCACATTATAATAAAATTCTTTCATATTTAATACTGTTTGAGTTTAGGGTTACAGATAGGGCTAACCATAATCAAAATACTAACCCTAACGTGAAACAATATTAAATATTGTTAGTTAGCTGCGTATCCTTTAAAGGACGTTGCAGAACCTACCCCAGCATTTTTTGACTGTTGTGGTTTTTCTAAACAAGTTTACGTCCCGTAGTTTGCCATTCCCTCTGATTACACCGCAGTAAGTAGCTTCTCGATACCACTGCCGAAACCAATGCAAGGCACAAGTCCCGCAGCTGGAATCGAACCCAGCAGTCCAGCATTACGAAGCGTGTTCGAAACGCTTAAGCTACTGACGCCAACTAGAGATTACATAGCATTATTATGTTAACGTACACAATCAAGAGATTGGGCCCATTATAATCACCGAAAACAGACAACAGATTGCGTCCGCTAGGGTCCTTGTTGCAAGGAGTGCCTAAGTAAGGCTTTTCAATATTCTAACTGGTAGCCTGATTAAACTTAAAAAACAATTATCTGCCGTGGCTCCTCCTCTATCTCTTCTGGGTTAAACCATCTGGGTTTAAGCGAAATGTTGCGGGTTCGAACCCGAATGAAGCCAGACTTTTGCTTTTTAATAAACTTGGCTCCCAGGTCAACCGAGCCTTCAGTGTGTACCAGTTGATGTCGTAGGTAGCAAAGACGACCAGCGGGATGTTGACCTCAACACCCACTGAGTACCGACTAGTCTATAACATATGGGGGTAACCCTATGTGCCCAGTACCCACGAAGGTTAGGAAAACGGTCATAATTATTGACATTACTTGCGTTTATCGCTGACTTGCTAATCTCTTCTTTCTTCCTCCTTAACAAATATTTGAAACATCATCGTGTAGCAGGTCCTTTGCAGAACGTCGCTCTCATCACAGTCTGCCTGAAAGAAACTTGGTCTGTCGCCAATTCTCCCGCCTCATGTACTTTCATACTCAAGAATCACTTATATATGGTGCCCATCTTCGCGTCGGTCGGCCCCTGCCCCTCCTTCCTGGTACCATGCCTTCTGTTATACATACACTAGAGCAGGGGTATTTAACTGGCGGCCCGCAGGCCAAATCTGGCCCACCGAAGCCTTGCAAGTGGCCCGCCAAACGTTGCCAAAATAGCGAAATGTAGTTATTAAACCCCCAAAAAAATTAAATCAATCAACTTTTCTGTATATTCTTAAAAATCAGTCGTGTCGCATATGTCAATAGGAAGTGTTTGTCAGGAATCTGTATATGCAAAGATACGAGGGAACCAGCTTAAAGTAATTAGATCAGGGTAAAAGTTCGTTCCCAGTTCGTTCAAATAGCAAAACTCGCCTGTTTGAAGCCAAAGGTAATAAGATAGGCTGAAAAGATTAGAGCTTAGATTACGGAGAATCTCTCCTTAATGGGCGCTACTAATGCAAAAAAAAAAAAAAAAAACTAATGGCATTGGATGCAGCATAACATCGGACACTGGACACCGGAGAATACCTGCTAGTGATCTTGTTATCAGATTATAACGCTCCGAAGAACGTCAAGTCACATACAAGTCACAGTCAGAAGTAGACTGAAGGATGCGATTGTACAGTAACAAACTGATTCAGTAATAGTGTTTTAAATTATCTACTTTTAATAATTTTTAGTTAAATACATGATGCCATTGCTAGCTCTAGTAAGCGAGAAAAGTGGGAATGTGAAAATCGTGATTTCAACAGTGACTCGACACTGAAATATTTATTTACATCACCAACTCTGGCTAATTCGAAACCAGTACGCTTGCTATTTTATTTCTTTAAAACTGGACTCAGCAAGTTTAACCGATCGAATGATATAAATATTTTAAAAAGCTTCAGTATAATTTCAACACAAGATTTGATAACTTCAGTATACAAAACAATGTAATTTTATTCAATCAAGATCCTTTTAAAATCCCTGCTGCGTGTGATTTTTTCTTCCAATGCTGAGAAGTTGATATTCCTCTGTTGAATAAGGTTCTCTGCAGTTAGAACTTGTGGATATCCAAAGTTCCAGCGCAGTGAATGAAGATTTTCAAGAAAGTGGCACCGCCAAGTTTTGGGAGAGAATTCAACAGGAGCAGTTTCCTAATGCTAGAAAAGTTGCTGTACTCATACCATGTCTGGTTCGACTTTCACTTGTGAATCAAGCTTATCACACATGATTGTCATCAAGACACACAGTTGGAGCTCACTGAGCAATGATAGGCTGCAAGATTGCATGAGAATTGCTCTAACTTCTCACCAGCCAAATTTAGTAAAATTAGCTCAAAAACAAAATGCAGCATTTCCCATTAATTACATTTTGCATCGTTATACCTTTCGGTTTCTTCTACATAACATGAAACCAACTGTGGACAGTTATTATTGTTATTGTGTCAATGTAATGGAAGTGACAAAGGCAACGTTTTTTAATGATCCAAACGACAAGTTGGAAATAAGTGTATTTCAATTAATATTGATCCCCGTGTGGGTTCCGGGGGCCTATTGTGGGGAAACAAAAATAGACCCACTGCCTACCAAAAAGAATGTCGCAAAAGTCGACTAGCTGGAAGCCTTCCTTCGAAGTCAGAGTACATCTGCCTGAGAGCCAAGGAACCCACAGTCTGCATGCAAACGAGTAAGACGTGTAAAACGGATGTGTACGCAACACTCAGTTTCTGGAACAGGACTAGAGTCTAGAAGTAGACGTACAACCAGAACTTTCCGCTGGAGTTTACAGCCGGTGAATACGAAGAAGAAGAAATGAGTAATTATTAATCATTACAGAAGATTGTGGTACACTTTACAATCGTTTACAACACTGCTTCGTTTATATAGGCTAAGTAATGGGCGTAACAGTTTTCGAGTGTATTAAATCTACAAATCAAAAACGTTGTCAATTGTAGTGTGGGCTCGGAGGACTGGCCCGCGACAATCTCCATGTTTAACATTTTGGCCCGCTAGCAAACTTAGTTGAATAGCACTCCACTAGAGCTTCATAATCATTCAGTTTTAGTAATTACATTTTTTTTAATATTGAAATAATAATAATTTTTTCATAATGTTTAAAAATTACTAAAGAAACATTCTATACTTAAATTAAAATCCTAATAGGAAGATAATACATGGAGCAAGTTGAGGAGGGGAAGAGGCGAGGGTTTAGTCAGCTTTCCTATTAACCTGCTTGAAACTTTTGAAAACAAAAATTTACAATAATAATAATAATAAATTGTCCCCTCCACCCCCCCCCCCCTTTCCTAAGAAATGCAGCATGTAAGATTAACATCTCAAGGCTGAGAAACAGATAGGTCCCGGAAACCTTGTTCATCCCTGTAGCCATACAAATAACACTACATTACAGTTTGCCTCCTTTTCGTTTACTAGGTTACAATTTCTCACCGGCCAGCCTAGCAACGGAAGAGAGTTCAGTCCTGACTTACCACAGAATTATTGAAGCCATGAAGTTCGCTTTTGCAGAGCGCTCTAAACTGGGAGACTCGGATGGATTTGATGAGGCAAGGTTGAAGTTAGTTGCGTATCCTGTACAGGACGTTGCAGAACCAACTCCAGCTTTATTGTGGCTGTTGGTGGTTTTTGTAGACAAATTTTAATGTTCACTAGTTTGCCATTGCCACTGAACGATAAGCTCTTGGTACCGCTGTCGAAACTAACGCAAGACAGATCGTCTGCAGCTGGGATCGAGCCTGGTACCCGGCATTACAAAGCGCGTTCGCAACGCCTAAGCCACAGACGCCGACGCAAGAAGATTGCATGTACGGTATCTATCCTGAGTATTTGAGAGTGATTGCCGGGAATTGAAACTGTTATTATATAACAAGTATTTAACTGATATACGCAGGTTGCTTCTTGAAATGTGCAGAAAAGAAGTTTTAGTCTTACCTTTTACATTTTGATGTGGGCACCATTTCTAGATGGGCGCTGTTTAAACCAGGCATGTCAAACGGAGGGCCATATGGGTCATCTTTTCGTGGGAGCCACAACAGCAGATAATTACAGACCATAGTGTCAGATCGTTTATTTACTCACTCCGATGTCACATCCTTCATTCACTCACCCCAAAGCAATATCTTATTTTTAAACTTACCCTGATATAAGATTCATTATTTACTTACCCCGATGTCAGATCTTTTGATAGCTCACCCGATATCACATCCGTTATTTACTAACCCCGATGTCAGATCCTTTATTTACTTACCCTGATGTCACATACTTTATGTACTTACCGCCATGTCAGTAGTATACAATGCGCCGCTCCAACCGTAGACGTCACAGCCTGGACACTGGACACCGGCTGGACCCTGGACACCGGATGGACCCTGTACACCGGATGGAGCCCTGGCCACCGGATGGACCCTGGACACCGGATGGACCCTGGCCACTGGAGCGTTGGGTGGACACGGGCTGCTTGGTCCCGGAAGTTCAAAGTGTCAATTATTTGTTTGTCCCCAGAATGCGAAATGTTTGTCCGTCAAGGACGTCACTGATTGTTTCTTTAAAAATAAAACCTTGTTGGGAAATCAAGATGGCGCATATTTTCTCTAGAATTTTCTCCTTAGAAGTGATATTTTTTCTTCCCAGAAGTCCTTTTTTACACCAGCTTTTTTGCCAAATATTTTTTAAAAAGATTAATGTATTTTCCAAAAATATATTTTGGTCTGGAACACCTCGGGGGCATTTTGGGGGGTATTGGAAAATCCTGTAGGTTTCTTTTGTAGTTCTTTCTGTCTATCCCTGTCTGCCACCTGTAGTAATTACCCATCCCCGGTAACAAACAACATTGACTAAAAATATAGGCAGAAGACGTATAACAGTTTATATAATTGTTTATTGTCTAGTATTTCCATTTTTTGTTTCATCAATCATCATGGTACAAATCAGGACAGACAAAATAAACATTCAAACATTTTCAACATTAGGCATAAATTAGGCAAATAATGCATGACATAGTTGGCAAAAACATAGGTAATATTTTTTACCAGACAAAAAACCTTTTATTGGTAGTATTGTCTAGGTTGTATTTCATTTTACATATCAACAAAGTTAATTTTTTACAACAGCATGGCACAAGTTGGATGTCAATGGCACATTTTGTATTTTACATTATTTTACAAGCAATATCACAGACATTTAAATTTTATCACAGACATTAAAATTTTATCAGTCACAGTAAAGTATAAGTCACCGGTCTGTGTTGTATGTACATAGTTTATAGGAAAGACAGGTGATATTTATGATACAGACAGAAAACAGAAATTAGATTGCCAGAGGAGGAAGTTGAAACTGTATCATCGTGGACAAGTCGTTTTATATATAGATAGGACAAAGAGTATCGGTGTTGATTGTAGGTGTAGATGGAGGACTTGTGTACTCTAAACCCTACATTGGTACCTCCTTGTGGTTGTTGTACGTCAAGAACTTTCAAAAAGGTGTCCCTATCTAAGGTGTTATGTTGTTTTGAAAGTCCTTTGGTGCTGGTTTTTTGTGTGCTCACCGTAGCAATGATAGGTCTTACTACATAGGGCTATCATGCCATCCCCCTCATACTCTAATTTAAAAAGCCCCGGGGTTCTCTTCTCATAGAGTTTCCTAGCTCGACAGGCCTGACAGTCTAACGGCACGTTACCCTCGGTAGAAATAAAGGCAGACTTGTGAGCAGGACAGACTTCTGACGGGAACCACTTATCGTAAACAGCATAGAACTCGGGGCGAAGGTGGGGCCTTACAACGTCAGAGAGATTGTCACTACTAAGAGCTAAATACAAACTATCAGTGTCCATCTCACACAACTGAAAATCGGCCCTATCTACAAATTTATCTAAAAAGTCGTAATAAAACTCTAACATTCTCAGTTTGGCGTACTGATAAACGAAGAAACCTATTTGGAGTGGGAGGTCCCAGACTATATTCTTCTTCAATAGTTCTACCTCATAGATATCATCGGTCAGATGGGTCATCTGTTTGAAGAGGGGGTTGTTGACTTTTGTCGAGGTGCTATCCCCCAAGACAATAGGATACGTCGGTATGCTTTGACTTGTTGGTCAAAGTCTTACCATACGCGGCGTTCCCCAACAACTTCATAGTCTCCCCAGTGAGCGCCTTGGACGGGTCACTGTCCCCCGCGCGTCGGGCCTCTGACACGGTATCCCCAAATTTCTGAAAGCAACTCACTGGGTGGTACTCGATGATTTGGTAGATTTTAGTCACCACTAATTTCTGTTCTAAATACCACTTTAACAAGGGAGTCGCTAACAAAATTTTGGTACCTATATAACTGCCTATCAAGGTCCTGCGCGGTGATGTCAATAATTTATGTTTAATGGTATAGTCCTTCATACAGTCACTAAGATCGTCCCTAGTCACTTCTATGTTTTTGAAGATGGGCGTCATTTCTTCAAATTTCGGTTTTAGGTCGTCAGGAACAGAAATGTCGCATTCTACTAGGCCAAAGAATGTATCCTTTCTGACTTTGTCGAGAATTGTCGCTTCTGTAATGGGATAGGCACCCCACTGGGGTTTAACGCGGGGAAACCGACCAGCCAGAAACGTTTTCACGGGTTCAGTCTTTTTAAGTTTCTGCCATTCACATTCCCACATTTCTACGACACTGACGCCTACCTCAGTCCTCAAATAGTGGGAAATCTCCCTGGTGTTTTCATACAACTCCACCAGGGGTTTCTGATTAACCGGGTTAATGGTTATACCCTGGTTCTTACAGCAGTTTTGATGGCCATGGAATAGACAACCGTGAAATTGGTAGGCGGTGCGAGTGGTTGGTGCCCACCCATCCACTCTAATGTGCCTGTCACCCAAACTCATCTCACGACCATTAAACTGTGTTTTGAGGGCTACGGTCGCTTCATGGGAGACCCAAGCCAACCATTCTCTATTCTGAGTGGTGTACCAGTTGTATTTTTCCACGCGGAAACCCGTCTCCGCTTTTCTGACAATAGGAATATCAGTCGGCATTTTCTGCATCAGGGCCCAAAGATACAGAGCATTGGCATCATAGCCTTTTACCGACTGGACTGGTTTTCCCCCTCTAACTCGGGTCTGGCCCTTCTCGTGCTTTCGGTGAAAAATAATACTGGGGCCCCCAACTATATTATCCCTAAGCGTCTGATGGAGTCCAGCTTCTTTTTCAGAACAGAGTGAAAAGGACACGTCGGCAGCTAGAGTTTGGAACAGATATCGGAGGGTAACGCCCGGCACAGAAATTGCGTTTTTGAACATATCTACACCTAAACTAGAATAAAAAAATACCTGTTTTTCTAAGGCGGCTATGAAAGGAACTACATCTTTATTATTATACCAGACAAGGAAATCTCTAAGAGTGTTCATGTTTTTATCGACCCAGACCTTTTGACAGAGAGAATAATCAGCCGTAGAAATGTTGCAATTTTTAAGAGAAGAAAAGAAAGCAGTGTGCGGTGGTAAAGTGGTTTCATCTAACTGACTAATATTGGTGATATACTCGTAACAGAAGAATCCTTTAGTTTCAGAAATATCAAAAGAAGACAAATATTTCGAGTACGAGAAGCCCGGGGCGAGGTAGTTGGAAATATCCAGGAACTTTAATTTGGGTGTGGAAATACACATAAAATTCTGGTTTCTTTTGACCATATAGTTTAAAGCATTCCGGTCCTGGGTAAGGACAGGGAGCTCTTTCAAATACGCATCCAAGCGCTCACCCAGCTTGTCCTCTCCTAACACTATTAATTCTTCAAACACTTTTTCAAATTTTTTCAGCAGAGTGCTGTAAGCTTTTTCCGCCAGTTCCTCTAAACGAGCCAGCATCCGATTGACTAAGTCCTGTGAATTACCTGTTGTAACAAAACAGGTAATTCACAGGACTTAGTCAATCGGATAATTCACAGGACTTAGTCAATCGGATGCTGGCTCGTTTAGAGGAACTGGCGGAAAAAGCTTACAGCACTCTGCTGAAAAAATTTGAAAAAGTGTTTGAAGAAGAAATATTTGTCAAAAGGTCTGGGTCGATAAAAACATGAACACTCTTAGAGATTTCCTTGTCTGGTATAATAATAAAGATGTAGTTCCTTTCATAGCCGCCTTAGAAAAACAGGTATCTTTTTATTCTAGTTTAGGTGTAGATATGTTCAAAAACGCAATTTCTGTGCCGGGCGTTACCCTCCGATATCTGTTCCAAACTCTAGCTGCCGACGTGTCCTTTTCACTCTGTTCTGAAAAAGAAGCTGGACTCCATCAGACGCTTAGGGATAATATAGTTGGGGGCCCCAGTATTATTTTTCACCGAAAGCACGAGAAGGGCCAGACCCGAGTTAGAGGGGGAAAACCAGTCCAGTCGGTAAAAGGCTATGATGCCAATGCTCTGTATCTTTGGGCCCTGATGCAGAAAATGCCGACTGATATTCCTATTGTCAGAAAAGCGGAGACGGGTTTCCGCGTGGAAAAATACAACTGGTACACCACTCAGAATAGAGAATGGTTGGCTTGGGTCTCCCATGAAGCGACCGTAGCCCTCAAAACACAGTTTAATGGTCGTGAGATGAGTTTGGGTGACAGGCACATTAGAGTGGATGGGTGGGCACCAACCACTCGCACCGCCTACCAATTTCACGGTTGTCTATTCCATGGCCATCAAAACTGCTGTAAGAACCAGGGTATAACCATTAACCCGGTTAATCAGAAACCCCTGGTGGAGTTGTATGAAAACACCAGGGAGATTTCCCACTATTTGAGGACTGAGGTAGGCGTCAGTGTCGTAGAAATGTGGGAATGTGAATGGCAGAAACTTAAAAAGACTGAACCCGTGAAAACGTTTCTGGCTGGTCGGTTTTCCCCGCGTTAAACCCCAGTGGGGTGCCTATCCCATTACAGAAGCGACAATTCTCGACAAAGTCAGAAAGGATACATTCTTTGGCCTAGTAGAATGCGACATTTCTGTTCCTGACGACCTAAAACCGAAATTTGGAGAAATGACGCCCATCTTCAAAAACATAGAAGTGACTAGGGACGATCTTAGTGACTGTATGAAGGACTATACCATTAAACATAAATTATTGACATCACCGCGCAGGACCTTGATAGGCAGTTATATAGGTACCAAAATTTTGTTAGCGACTCCCTTGTTAAAGTGGTATTTAGAACAGAAATTAGTGGTGACTAAAATCTACCAAATCATCGAGTACCACCCAGTGAGTTGCTTTCAGAAATTTGGGGATACCGTGTCAGAGGCCCGACGCGCTGGGGACAGTGACCCGTCCAAGGCGCTCACTGGGGAGACTATGAAGTTGTTGGGGAACGCCGCGTATGGTAAGACTTTGACCAACAAGTCAAAGCATACCGACGTATCCTATTGTCTTGGGGATAGCACTTCGACAAAAGTCAACAACCCCCTCTTCAAACAGATGACCCATCTGACCGATGATATCTATGAGGTAGAACTATTGAAGAAGAATATAGTCTGGGACCTCCCACTCCAAATAGGTTTCTTCGTTTATCAGTACGCCAAACTGAGAATGTTAGAGTTTTATTACGACTTTTTAGATAAATTTGTAGATAGGGCCGATTTTCAGTTGTGTGAGATGGACACTGATAGTTTGTATTTAGCTCTTAGTAGTGACAATCTCTCTGACGTTGTAAGGCCCCACCTTCGCCCCGAGTTCTATGCTGTTTACGATAAGTGGTTCCCGTCAGAAGTCTGTCCTGCTCACAAGTCTGCCTTTATTTCTACCGAGGGTAACGTGCCGTTAGACTGTCAGGCCTGTCGAGCTAGGAAAAAACTCTATGAGAAGAGAACCCCGGGGCTTTTTAAATTAGAGTATGAGGGGGATGGCATGATAGCCCTATGTAGTAAGACCTATCATTGCTACGGTGAGCACACAAAAACCAGCACCAAAGGACTTTCAAAACAACATAACACCTTAGATAGGGACACCTTTTTGAAAGTTCTTGACGTACAACAACCACAAGGAGGTACCAATGTAGGGTTTAGAGTACACAAGTCCTCCATCTACACCTACAATCAACACCGATACTCTTTGTCCTATCTATATATAAAACGACTTGTCCACGATGATACAGTTTCAACTTCTCCTCTGGCAATCTAATTTCTGTTTTCTGTCTGTATCATAAATATCACCTGTCTTTCCTATAAACTATGTACATACAACACAGACCGGTGACTTATACTTTACTGTGACTGATAAAATTTAAATGTCTGTGATAAAATTTAAATGTCTGTGATATTGCTTGTAAAATAATGTAAAATACAAAATGTGCCATTGACATCCAACTTGTGCCATGCTGTTGTAAAAAATTAACTTTGTTGATATGTAAAATGAAATACAACCTAGACAATACTACCAATAAAAGGTTTTTTGTCTGGTAAAAATATTACCTATGTTTTTGCCAACTATGTCATGCATTATTTGCCTAATTTATGCCTAATGTTGAAAATGTTTGAATGTTTATTTTGTCTGTCCTGATTTGTACCATGATGATTGATGAAACAAAAAAAAAAAATGGAAATACTAAACAATAAACAATTATATAAACTGTTATACGTCTTCTGCCTATATTTTTTAGTCAATGTTGTTTGTTACCGGGGATGGGTAATTACTACAGGTGGCAGACAGGGATAGACAGAAAAAACTACAAAAGAAACCTACAGGATTTTCCAATACCCCCCAAAATGCCCCCGAGGTGTTCCAGACCAAAATATATTTTGGGAAAATACATTAATCTTTTTAAAAATATTTGGCAAAAATCTGTGTAAAAAAATGACTTCTGGGAAGAAAAAAATATCACTTCTAAGGAGAAAATTCTAGAGAAAAATATGCGCCATCTTGATTTCCCAACAAGGTTTTATTTTTAAAGAAACAATCAGTGACGTCCTTGACGGACAAACATTTCGCATTCTGGGGACAAACAAATAATTGACACTTTGAACTTCCGGGACCAAGCAGCCCGTGTCCACCCAACGCTCCAGTGGCCAGGGTCCATCCGGTGTCCAGGGTCCATCCGGTGGCCAGGGCTCCATCCGGTGTACAGGGTCCATCCGGTGTCCAGGGTCCAGCCGGTGTCCAGTGTCCAGGCTGTGACGTCTACGGTTGGAGCGGCGCATTGTATACTACTCATGTCACATCCTTTAGTTACTCAACGCGATGTCAGATCCTGTATCTACTAACCTCGCTATCAGATCATGTATCTACTCACCTCGCTGTCAGATCCTGTATCTACTCACCTCGCTGTCAGATCCTGTATCTACTCACCCTTCTGTCACGTCCTTTATTTCCTCATACTGATGTCAGATCCTTTTATCCCAGTGGTAGATCGATTAATGCCCTTCTCAGATGCAACAACGCCATAAATACGGACATCATCTTTTCTCAGACAGCCCAGAAGCTGCAAAGACCAGCCTACGGGGAAGCCACCAGAAAGAGGATCACAGATCACAAGACCCAAGAGATCGAGTATTACAAACCAGCCTACCATATACACAACAATCATGGGACGGCCCACATATCCGTCATTGATGCCGAGGGCAACGCCGTCTCTGTTACAAGTACCATTAACACATAGTAAGGCTGTGTTGATTTTTTGTACATTAGTCGTAAGTCGAGGTTTCACCTTCACAGCAAATTGGTCACCCCTTAATTGTTCTGTTCCTGTCATCATCTTCATTATCATTATCATTAAAAATCACGTCTACCGTTAAGCGATGTATTGAGGAACAATTTGCGACCCAGTGCACGCTGGCTGCCACTGGCTATTGTCATGCCGTTAAAGCGTAGAGTGTCTTTTATGTTGTCGATCAATATATTCTTGGCCGTCGTCTTGGTCATGTAGCTGATCTTCTGAAATGTAGTGTCCGTGATGGTATTTTACGTTGCTGCATTCTAACCAGACGGCCAAACCACTTGATCTGCTGTTCTTCGATGAATCTAGTACACAGTGTCTTTCCAGCTTCGTCATTATTTGCTCGATCTCGAATGGTTAGGTTGGCGGTATTTCTCAAGCATCTCATCTCTCACCTGTACCGATGAGCGTCGCAAGAAATGCCCTTCGGTCTTCCATTAGAAAACTAATTAACAGCAGAGTAGTCCAAGAACAATCCACACGAAACCTTTGTACTCTTATGTCAGAAATGCAAAATCGCATCAACCAACGGGGGCAAGAAGCAAATAGCTCGTCAAAGCTTCAGTGGTCAGCCAGCGTATCCTCCATATTGGAACGGAAGTCCTTGTGTCCCTTATGATCATCATCCTCGGTGTCTTTGTAGCTCCGTGGTTAGTGTTCGTGCTTAGTGAACTGCAATTTTGGGTTCAAATCATTGTATAAAAGTACGAAAGTCAAGCGGTCTTTTTCAGCTAGGGCATATGATGCTAGTCGCATGTTTTAATGGACCAGTCGGCTGTCGGAGGGTTGGCGTTGGTGGTGTGGGTGGGGGGTGGGGTGGTCAACTTGATACCGGCCACCACGACTTTTTAAAATAGGGTATAATTTTCTACACTCATTAGCCTTGTCCAGGCAGTCGTGTTACTTGTTACTGATCAGCATCGACATCAAAGCAAATCGGTTCTACCCATTCGTGCTCCGTCCTCGGATACAGTAGCCATTTCTGTCTCTTCCTGCTCATCGTACCCAGAAAGAGTTGCCTGGATATTTCTTCTTTCTTTGCCTCACAACCGGTTTTTTATTTTTTTTTATTTATGCTTGTCCTAATTTAATGCCCATTTGCAACAGACGGTTCACTGCTTCCCAGTCATTTGTCTCAACGACTCTAGAACGCGGTACATTCAGTATCTCTGCCCTATCCATATTTGTCCCTCTAGTAACTACTGCAAACATGACCAATCTGCAGTTGTGTCCACGCAGTTGTTGTTTGTTACTACTGCATTCTAAGATTTACACAACATTCCGCTTAAAAGATTATCATCTCTCTTCATCCCTTACATATTTAAATAATTACTGAAAATTAAAACATCCGCTTTAGCGTAGCTCAGACGCTCGCCTGCCTACTCGAAGATATTGGGATCAAATTGGCATCAAGTCGGTTGGAAGTAAAGGCGACAGTCCTGATGTTAGCCACAACACCCATCGATTGCAGCTTTGTCTATTCAAATTTGAGTGTGACCTCATATGCCAGACTGGTCAGTTGTGTGAAAAGATCTTTTTTTTTTTAAACTTTTATTAAGTTCTCTTTTGTTTGTTTGTGGGGTGAAATTTTTGCTTTCGTATTTTATACCATTTCCTGGTAAAAATATCGAGCTGATTTTTGTTCAACACACGCGCTTTCTTTTTTTCAATTTAAAATTAAGCATCCCATGTCACTTTCACAGCCTGGGATCCCATGTCAGAGGTCAAAGGACAGGCATAGTCTTCAACAATGAGATGGACGATTTCTCTACTCCAGGCACTCCCAACTACTACGGGTTCCCTCCATCCCCGGCAAACTTCATCAGGCCTGGCAAACGACCCATGTCTTCCATGTGTCCAGCCATTGTCTTTGACGACAATAAACAGAGGGTCCGACTCGTCACTGGTGCTGCGGGGGGAAGTACCATCACCACAACAACGGCAATGGTAGGTTTCATATTATTTCTTCTTGTTTGGGGTTAAAATTTCAGTTGGCTGCTTAGTGGGTTGTTGTCAGCTCTGTTGGTTGGCTTCTTAGGGGATATTATGATTAGTCAATTGCCTGATTTATTAAATTGCTCATTGGTTGCTTTTTGACTGCTTGGCTGGTTAATATAAAAATAAAAAAGGGACGGTAAAGAGATAAGTAGCTGGGTGGGTTGGCGAGACAAAATCACTGTCCTGATCTGTAATTCTTGTGATCGTGTGAGATGGCGAAACATGACCGCATACGCTTATCGAGAAGGTACATTTCTGCAATGAAGCTGACTGATTTTGTGGTTAGTTATCTGGTTCATGTGCGGGGTTACTATTTTAATTGTTTGGTTGGTGTGACGTTTTGATTGGCTAATTGCTTTTTTATTTATTTATTTATTATTATTTTTTTTTATTTATTTATTATTTTTTTTTTTTTTTTTTACTTTTTTTAATTGCTTGCTTGGCTGTTTATTAATCAGTTGGCTGGTTGATTGATATGTTTCTTTGATTCACGCCCAGGTGATGTCATTATACACGGATGGGTCTGAAGTAAGAGGTTAAAAAGTGTTGATTGGATTTCATTGCAAAGGAGAATGAAAGTTGTTTCAAAACAGGAAAGCCGCGCCACATCTAACATGGAGGTGGAAGCAGTAACAGCAGATTTCTGAAGGCTGCAGACTAATACAGCCCAATATGTTATAACTGTAACTGACTCACAGAGCATGCTTCGGAAAATGTTAAATGATTTCTTGCTCTCATTATATCTTTCATTGCTTGATAATGACATTGTAGTTGTTTTGCCAGATAAGCTATTTTGTGATAAAGCGGACGTGGTGAATGCGCTCTGGGATCAAGCAAAGAATGCAACAGACCTGACAGAACATTCGTACCTGGACCATATATTCAGCTGAAAGTGAACAGAGGATCTACAAGAGTGGGGTTTTTTTTTTTACCCAAAGGGGAAATGGCAGACAAACTTCAAATCAGATTCAACTGGCATCGTCAGTATGGAGCAGAAATGTCCTAAGTACACTGTTTGAAAACCCCCATTCTTAAGACCGCGAATTGTATAGCACATCCTTACCCACAATGGATGCAGGGTGGCCGTCACTGGTGCCCTAATTATAACTTCCTAGTTAGAGGTTGAAGGGGATATCTTGGCTTGTCCTGTTGGTCTGCCATCAGCGCTGCGACTGTTTTAGTTTTGAGGTCTGAAAAGTTCAGATCCTGTTGGTATGTAAAGTAAAGGCAAGGTCCATTTTCCACGCCTTTTGGCGTATTGTGAATATAGGGCTAGACCTATTTTTTTATAGGGGTGGGTGATGTGGTCAGCATCATGTCGGCCGCCTTTACTTCCTAGGACTGCACCTGATACCCACTAAAGGCTGGGTCAACCTGGGAGTCATTTTTGAAAAAAAAACACTGGTTCCGCCACTAGGCGAACCCACGACGTTCCCGTTCGCAGGCGGGCGCCTAGCCGCCAACGCCACTGCAGCTCCCATCCTGTTAGTGTGCAATCCAGATTATGATCTTCTGGTCTCAGGGTTTCACATTTCCAGGTAGCAGCCCGGAGCTGATACATGACATGCGCGACTCATTTTTGTAAATGAATTTTGCCTTTGTTTCTGCTTTAGCTGACAGCCGATTTAAACAAAAATGTCTCCTATTTTATGGCTCCGCGATTGCGAACAAGTTGAAAAACACTGAACAGACTGTTTTCTGTGTGTTTTCTTGGATTCTATACTACTAAAACAATTAAATTAAATTAAGAAAAAGAAACGCCTAGCTTCTGGAAAAAAAAAAATATGATTTTGCCGTAATTTTTACATCCTAAAACGTTGTTATTACAATGACTGCACACAAGAATACTTTCGGGTTCAACTAGTCAATTGACTGTTCTTTTGAATCTGGGTCATCGACTGGTTTTGGGGTCAAATAATTAAGGCGCCATCTGATAACTGAGCGTGGCTTTTTGAACATTTCGAGTTTCAGTTGTAGCAGATTTTATGAAAGTACTTATTACCATAACATTTTCACTGTATATACTCAGAACATTGTGGATGTGTTGTGGTTTGGTAAACAACTTCCAACATCAATCAAGTCACCGAGACTTCATCACCAGCTTCTGCCGTCGAAGATTCAAGTTGAAGACGGCTACCCCGAGGTAAGATGTCTCAAGAGAAATTCTTCTTCTTTTGCGTTCACTGGCTGTGAATTTCGACAGAAAGTCTTGGTTCTTCGATCATTTGGACTTTGGCTTTGAACCAGGACCTGAGCTTTGAGTGTACATCCGTTTTACTGGCTTATTTATGTGTAGTTATTATTTCCTGCCTCTTTAGCAGAGATTATCTGACATCGAAGGAATACGTCCATCCCATCTCTAGGAAGACAGTGGCCATTGTTTCCTGGGACATGATGTTGCCTCGTTTGTGTGGTGTCCTCTTTGTCCCCTAACCTACAAATGTTGCTCCTGGAGAACCTCTTTAGGGCAAGCGTGTGTAGACTGATCAGCCCTCAAGTCCGACCATTTATGAGAAGGAAACAAAAAAATCGACCACGTTGAACCTACTGCTAGCAGTATCGGGTATAATTGGGGTCTTGTTTCTGCGTGCCAAGGATGTTGGCTAAAAGAGGTTTGAAATTTGCGGGAGCCCGAAGACAACTAATCACCGATATCAGCAGGAGACAGTCATCATTTTTCGGCCATGTTATGAGAAGAGGGAAAATGGAACATGTTGTGACCACTGGAAAGGTCAGTGGAAGAAGGGACAGAGGAAGACAACGAGAGAAGATTCTTGACAGTCTTGTTGCATGGCATAGAGGTGTGTCAGCACACGAACAAATACATGCAGCAGGAGATCGCAGATTCTGGTGAGGCATATTCACCCACGACAGTCGGCAAGGCACCTGATGATGATCATACACTATTCATATTCGTGTTCGGCCGAATAGTTGATCCCGCTATTCGTATTCGGCCGAATAGTGAAAATCACTATTCGGTACATCCCTAATATATGTACACACAAACACATATACACACATTTAGAGATACAGACGTACATGTACAAATACATTTGTATTTATATATATATATATATATATATATATATATATATATATATACACACACACACACGTGTGCACACACACACACATGGGAATGCATGTATACCTGTTTGCATACTCGCACATGTATATGCACACATGCACTCAAAAGAATATGACTGACTGACTGACTTTCTACCCCACCAGGACATCACACAAGCGATAAACACCCGATGACACAAAGTGCCACCATGTGGATGAGGATCGCCGTTGAGAGGTCCCAGAAACCACGTCCAGACAATTGGCCATATTCATAGCCTGCCAATATTGCGGACCCTGGCGAAAGCCAGGATGGGCTTCAAATAACAAAAAATTTCGTCCTAAAAAGGACGAAACTGGATTTAAGAATGATATCATCAAAAGTATATGGAATGTTAGAACACTTGTACAAACTGAAAATTTGGACAACATCAGGAGGATAATGGAGATAATTAAAATTAAAATATTGGGAATTAGTGAAATTCGTTGGCCAAAAGCAGGGAAAAAGTATTCATATAAACACGAAATCATTTGCTCAGGTAGGAGGGAATATAAAATTGGCGTTAGTTGGGTCCTAGTTCTAGATCCACTGTCTGCATACACTATTAAAGGATATTGAACAGGGTGCTGTTAGTGTAGACTTTGAGCAAACCACTTGATATAAACCTAGTACAAGTATGTGCACCAAATGCAGAAAGCTCTGAAGATGATATTGATGAATTGTATACAGATTAAGACATGGCTTTCGATCAATGCAATAATTTAGGAGTAACAAAAATAATGGGCGATTTCAGTGCAAAAGTTGGAAGTGAACAAGTTTGTGGACTAACTGGTGGATATGACCTAGGAGGAAAGATTTACCCAGTGGGCTAACATTGTCACATTTGTTTTCCTAATAGTCTAAAACTGTGACATTTGTCCAATAATCTAAAGTGAACTACATCTTCCCATTTCAGACAATACTGCATGGGTTAAAAAGTAAAGGACACAGCATTGGCCGGATGTCGTGTAAATCCGTGATACAGGCAGTAGAAGTACGAGACGATGGCATCTATGCTGTTGCTGATTTGCGTAAGGGGGGAGTCCCCAGTGGATACTAATGCGAAACTGCATCAAGGCCTGAAGAACAGTTTTGCTTGTTTCTGAACAGTTTTGCCTGTTTCTGAACAGTTTTGCCTGTTTCTGAACAGTTTGTTGTGTGGATTTCCTAACGGAGAATTTGCTTTTCGTATTAGGATGGCTTCTTTCATCATTGTCATTGTCATCATCATCATCATTATCTTCATCAGCATAGTCCATCATGCTATTAAGTGTGGACTGTCATAGTTCACTATTTCACATGATCGCCAGTCTCGGATCACATCTGTGATCTTGTTTCCATTACGGTGATCACATCACCCGCCCAGTGCCGATTGGTCTATGAAATATGCGACATGCAAAATTATACACATTACTTCTAAGGGGAAAGGGGAAAATTGTTCTTTTCTTTTTAAAGTCTGAGTTTTTCCGTGTGGATTCCAGGGCCCAATTGTGGGGGAAACAAGAGTAGACTCACTACCTGCCTATATTAAAAACATGTCACAAGGAAAATTTAGAGTTAGAGGCATATTAAAAAAATCAATGAAGAACTAAATTAAGAGACAGGGGAATCATTTGGAGAGGACTTGAAGTGAGATGCAGGAGTTGCAAACCATAGGACTACTGTGTTTGCGACTAATGATGAAGCCAATCTCATGCCAACCCTCTTTGTTGCCACTTAAGACATGCATGATAGATTTTAGTGTTAATGTTCTTTACTTTCCCTGTGACCTGGTTAAGGTCATTAGTCCCTGGAGAAGAAAGCCTGACTATTGCGATTACAGATACGTTTGTTCATAATCCCTATTATCAGAGACTTACTCCCCGTGTGGGTTGAGGGGCCCCATTGTTGGAGAAGACAAGAGTAGACCCACTGCCTGCCCAAAAGCATGTCGTAAGAGTTGACTAAGTGGGAGCTTCCTTCGAAGACAGTCAATCTCCCTGAGAGGCAAGGAGCCAACAGTCTGAATACACATGAGTCAGATCTCTAAAACGGATGTGCACGCTACACTCATGTTTTGGAACAGAACTAGAGTCCACAAGTGGATGAACAATCAGAACTTTCTACAGGAGTTTACAGAAGAAGAAGAAGACAAAACTCTGAGTTAAATACCGTTATCAAGTGCTTTGACGACTGGCGGCAGCGATCATGCATGTTCACATCTTGCAGTCTTCGACGGCATATATTATTTCATATACAGATACACTGTCGTGTCTACATGTATACATTGTTGGTGAAACCATAGCACTTACCAACACCTCAACCAATCATAAGTTTTACAGAACATCGATTCGCTGATTTTACTCACTAACATAATCATTCAACCATCACAACAGTTGATATGATTAATTTATTAAATACATTTTTGAATTTGTAATACTTACAATTACTTCTTGTTTATGTTTTTACATTGCTTTGTATGTGTGAATGACAGATAGCAAAATTTGAAAACTCAATGCGCATAATGTGTATTCATTTATTTAAACGTTTTCGGAAACAACTCTCTCAACTGGGCGTCCGACGTAAGGTAAACTATGCAGTGGATACCATCACACTGTGGGGTTCCCGAATATGAAAGAACTGATGAACTAGCTAAGGAAGGTGCAAATGAAGAACAACCTGACCTACCAGTCTCTTATTGGCAGAAGAAGAAAATAATCAAATCAATCAGAAAGCCACCAGAACCGGCAAAAGACAATTACCATTTAATGGACAGACTAGAGCATGTTATTTTTCTACTCCTTAGCGTAGGAAACTTTGGGGGAAACAGCGGCAGTGGGGAGGGGGGGGGGAGAGAGAAGAGGCGGGTCAATTCGCAATGGACGAACATCTGTGTCAGAAGTTATTGGAAGTATGAGAGACGTAGGTAATCGCCATGATGCGGTTCCGAAGATAATGGGTTCAAAGTCTTAAATTGGTAGCAGGGGAAATAAAGGCGGCTAGAGTGATGTTATGATATGCCCCATGTGAAATGGGTGTTAATGAAACACTCACAATATGGAACGAAATTTTTCGTTATTTTAAAATCCTTTTTCCGCTGTTGTCGAGGGCCCTAATGTGGAATGAGCAATTTGCCTTGACGGCAGTAAGCAAGACTCTGAAGCCATTTATGTGTATTAAACTGTTGTTAGTGAGAGAGCGAGAGGTGAGAGAGAGAGACAGAGAGACAGAGGGAGATGATTAAAGATCGCATGTGTGCACTTGATGAAGTCCTAAGCTATATAAAGTCCTGAGGCCCGTATAGTCTAAAATTGCACTAGCTAATGTCAGACAATTTTAAAATTATCCTTTAAATGTATAGATAATGGTGGATAGTCGGCGTCTGTGGCTTAGGCGTTGTGAACGCGCTTCGTAATGCCGGAGTCTTGGATCGATCCCAGTTGACGGTTAGTCTTTCGTTGGTTTCGACAGTAGTACCAAGAGCTGACGGTTCAGGGAGCAATGGCAAACTACTGAATGTAACATGTGCCTAGACAAACCACAGCAGCCAAAAAACGCTGGGGCTGGTTCTGCAACGTCCTGTAAAGGAAACACAACCAACTAACTAATTGCAAATAATGAAAAAATAGTATCACTGAAAAATGTGTTTAATAAATAATAAAGACTGTGTTTGCAAAATCACAGAGATTATACAATCCTCTAAACAAGACTCTAGTAAAAGATAATTTTCTGTAAAATATATAAAGATAATCCTATTTGTAAGGGGCAAAAACAACCAGGAGGCAGTGGTAGAGATTGTCTGGCCCCAAGATGTAATTTACTTATATTGAAATCGCAAGCTCTAGCATGTGATGTGTAAATTTCGGTTTTTGGCAACGTTCTTTTGTTTTGGTCCTTATTTTGGTACGATCTTCCGCTTGATTCGAGTTTTTTCATCACGGCTCTCCTGTAGCCGATTATGTCATGGTACCACATGATTGTTCAACTGGCGTCCCGCCAGAAAAAATGGCCGGCCAGGGCCTAGTTTAGTGGCCCGCAGATCATTGCCAGGTGTTGTTATTGGTAAGTAAACCTAGTCAGCTTCATAGAGGGTCAAAGATAGTTGCTCCGCTCCTGTAACGTAGCTCACAAATGCATCAACTCACTGGCCCGTAAGTAGCAACATTTTCAACACACATAATGAAGACTTCGAATAACGTCAGTTGCGAATTTCATATTTTGAGCTGACTAGCGAAAAATTATAATTTGCGGACAGCAGCTTTATAGACGAGACCATCAGATATTGTTACGAAGCTTTATAATGATAATTTAATTAGTTGCGTATCCTGTACAGGACGTTGCAGAACCAACCCCAGCACTTTCTGGTTGTTGTGGTTTTTCTAGGCAAAATTACGTCCAGTAGTTTGCCATTGCCTCTGGACGGTCAGCTCTCGGTACCACGGTCGAAACCATCGCAAGACAAACCGTCCGCAGCCGTGATCGAACCCGGCACAGCGGCATTTAGAAGCTTTCGCATCGTCTTAGCCACATAGATAAACATAATAGGAGAAGATGACGAAGGATTTTCCGAAAAAGAGACTTTCGCGAATGTGAATACGGGACAATAAAGATGTATTGACTAGGAAAGAACACCGGGCTGGAGAATGAGCTAAATGAAAAGACTTTCAGACGTGCCGTGAAGAGAGCGAAGTTCTGTAAAAGACCTTCTGATTAATTCATTTGTTATTATGTACTGAATGTGAAATAAATACGATAATGTTTCAGAATATGAAAATGTAGGGGTGACTTCAGTCAAGCTAATACCAAGGAATTCCAGTGAAGTGTGACTAAAAAGCTTAACGAAACGGTTATCGTCGTGTATGTAGTTCATTACTTGTTCGAAAAAGGCCACCGGCTGAAACATTGTTTTGTGTTTTGTGCACGTTTTTCTTCTTCCCCGTTTCATTAAGCTTTTTAATAACATTTCACTGGAATTCCTTGAGAATATGAAACGTGTAAATAAATACTTGAAAATGCACGTCAGTTTGTAGATGCAGGGACATATAGTCCTCAATCAAATTGTCCAAGGGGTTGGGTCTGAAGCTTCTACAGTTACTGGAGCTGAATGTTGAATTAAAAAATCGATATCATAGCATTATGGGACACTCCCATAAGCGCTCTGTCCCCATCTTCAACAGCTAGCGAAGAGTTCCCATTCCGATGGCACCAGTAACTGTCTGATTGCCTATCCGTTTCGCCTTTTCCTTGAGTGCTGAGCGATTCCCTGGTAACTCCTCGCAGCGCCATTCTCCTCAGACCGTAATGATCTATTTGTGTCTCAGCACTGTTCACTCGCTCCCAAAGAGCCCTCGCCACATCTAGCTTGTCGTATATCAATTCCCCATCAAGTGTTGCAAAACCGGCCAGTCTACCTACCTGCTCGTTTCCTCTCACACCGGCGTTACCCGGAGAACATCGGTTACTAGAGAGATTGACTGAAACTGGTCAAAGTGGCAGTGCCATCTTCAAGGTCAAGATGAGAGAGATTATAACCGCTTCTCATGGGAACAGTCAGTAGAGATACTCTACTTCTCATGGGAACAATCAGTAGAGATACTCTACTTCTCATGGGAACAATCAGTAGAGATACTCTACTTCTCATGGGAACAATCAGTAGAGATACTCTAGGGTAGCTGCTGCATGCCAGGACTGCGAACAAACGAGAGTTCCCAATGTGCAATCTCGTCGATTGTGATAACATAACGTAGCATAAACTGCTGTCTATGCAGGTTAAGAATGCATGAAACTTCATTCTTCTATCGATCTATGTGTCTCCCACGTGCAACTACATGTAGTTTACCATACCATCGTGAGATTCAAAAATCCCACTGGGCGGCAGATCACCAAAGCAGATCCTAGACACTCTGTTCAACCTCTAAAGAAGTTATATTTAGAGCACCAATAACGGCCACACCAGCCAGGTGTCACCTGCAGTCCTGTGTTGGTAAAGGCAAAACCTCACAGAGTGAAGAGTGATGTTTAACCCCATTAGGGCCACGGAACGAGCGATTAACACCATACACAGTGCCACCATGCCCAAGT